TCAAGAAAGGTTTTAAAAAGCCTTGTTTGTGGGAAGTCTTTTTTTTGTCCAATCTACCTTACTTTGTCTTAATAAGATATTACAGCTAATATTGAGCTTAGCCAAACCAGTTCCAACATTGGTTTGCATGATTATTTCAAGAGTAAGAGCACTTGCACAACTTCTTGGTTTAACAGAAACTAGTCTGGTCCCAGTGTTGGAAATGAAGCAGCTGATTCGTTTTTTATTGTTTTAATAAAAAAACGCTAAAAAAACGTGAATCCTTTCACTTACTTTCTGGGTTTTATATTAAGCTTGCTTTCTATTTTCCTGTTTTATTGATGCTGTCTGAAGAGTGTTGTATGGTTAGGGACTTCACAACTTTAAATTATTGGTTCATATCTCTGGCAACCTCCTTTATATTGTGCAGGTTTCTTTTGGATTTTGTTTTTAATCATTTTTGGGACTTTTTATTGTAAAGCCCATTTCTGCCGATGTGATATGGGAATAATGACTTAGTATTTCAAAATAATGAGAAAGTCTCAATATTTTGACTTCGTATTTCATCATCATTCTGAGATGCTAAGTCAATATTTTGAGAAAATTTCTCATTCTAATGACTTACAGAATCTTTTTTCCCTCACATTTGCAGAAACAGGCTTCCATATTTTCCCCTTTATTAGACACGACAGCTTGAGAGATGAACAGGAAAAGGAGAGAGACAGAGAATGACACGCAGGTTGGATTTGAATCCGTGGCCAGTGCAGCAAGGTGCTACATAGGGTGAGCTACCAGGGCGCCCTGGATGTTTTCCTTTTGTAAGGCTTTGCACCTCTATGCAACTGATGGTAGCATTTACAATAGGATATTTTTTTATTGTTTCTCTCTATACATTTCCATACTTATCACCAAAACATATCAACCATTAAAAAAAATCATAAGGTTTTCCTGTATTTAGGTGTGCACCATTCCCATGTATGCTTATTTTTAGATGTGCATTCTCACCGACTCAGGCACAAACACAGAGTATAAGGCCATGTGATGGAAACTTTCCACCTGAATTTCTCCCCTCTCTAGAAGACAATCTACATCTACGTCATCTTCTCGCAAAGGTGGCTGGCGACGTCACATGTGTGGCATTCAAGTGTCATCGGAATATATGGCAAAGCAAGGATTTTATCACTGACAGACGGACACAGGACTGAGCAGTATTTTCTGGATGCAGACGTCCGCAATCTGAATCAGCTATTATGATTATTGTTAAAATTCGAATGCGAATCTAGCAAAATATAATTGAAAAATATAAGAGTCATGGTCACGGCTTGGCTTTAGAGATGCTAAAGGAAGCAGCTGCAGGGCTTTTTTGACTGAGGACATCGGGGACAAAATGATCTTTGTCAAAGCACAAACAAAATCCAGCAAAGCAAGTGAATCAGGACAACACCTACAAGAACAGTCATGTCTGAGCTTCAAATGACATCAGCTCCTGTGCTGAATACAAGGTGTGACTGTCACTGTTTAGCCCTCCCTTTTCTATGACAGCCAGCTCACTGCCCCACCAATAAGTTAAAAAACGACCGGTTTATCCGTCCTGGTTGGATGACGTTTCCTGAAGAAGGCCACACCTCGTGACAGCCACCAACAACACGTTCATGTGCGCTCCAGATGAGCTCGTTTTTAGTATTTCCAACTGCACCTGAAGGCAGCGGGAGGCAGGAGGTGGAGAGAGATAGAGGCTGAACAACAGGGAGAGAGGAGGTGGGGGGGAGAGAGCGAGACCCAGCTAGCGACAGCAGCACTGTGAGCCTGTTTGCCACTAACCAACCGCTGTTTAGCGACATTAGCGCTACAGTATAAACCAAAATTGAATAATTGTGCTTTAGCTAAGATATGACTCCACCAGCATGTCGTCGAGTGTGTCTGAACCGACAGAAAGTGAGCCGGTAGCTAGCTAGATGAACGTGAAGACAAAAAGGGCATCCTCTGTGTGTTTGAGCCCGCTCGTAATCTTCGGATGAGACTTTCTGTGTAAACGTTCAGTGAAGCAGCGCGGAGGAATCGTCCGCTGCTCGACCGACCTCCGGTCCCGGTTACAGTAGAGACAGGGCAGGGAAAACCGCCAAAGTGTCGCCATGAAATTCACAGAGCATCTCTCCGCTCACATCACCCCGGAGTGGAGGAAACAGTACATCCAGTATGAGGTAAGTTAGCTTCATATTAAACCTGCCAACTAGCTAGCACTAGTTAGCTAGTTGGCTGACTGGCTAACTGGGCAGCCAGTGGCGATGCGGCTAGGTGTGTGTCCGGTTTCATTCCGGTTATTTCTGTTCAGAAACGTTTGGATACGGTCTGGGGATGGCTTCCTTGTCTTTCACTCTTCCGTCGTTATACAACAGGAAGAGAGCTTCAGTTAGTACGCCCGTAAATCAAGCGACTGAGCTAGCAAACTGGACGAGCTAGGTTGTGGCTCCGCAGGTTACCAGTCGGTCACATCAGGCTGGACGAGCTGCTGTGTGTCCGTCCTCTCTGCTGCTTGGAGTGTGTTTAGGAGACAAAAGCCATTCGGCTGAGTCATCATTTATTGAGCTACTTAATCTTTGCTCCTGTTAGCCCAAAATGCTGACCCAGCTCAGCAGTCATGTTGCTGGTGTTTTTAACATCAGGGTGAACGGGGTCACCGTTGATAGGAGAGAGGTGCTGATAGTTGGCTCAATCTGCAACCTTTGATCCATTAAAGCATTTAAAAACCTGCAACTCAGCTCTTATCTTTATTGTGCCTTTAATTTGCACACAGTACAAAACAAACTGTAAAAAAAAATTCAAAGAAAACATTTGCAGTATTTTTCGTAGTATCTTTTATATGTATATTCCAAGCATACTTGTCAAGGTTGTGTATTGGGATTTAGGGCTGCAAGATATGGCAAAAACATCATATTTTACTGTTAGATTAATGTGGGGAGGATCGTTTTTGCATCATAATTATAATTTGCATTTAAAGAAACTATTAAAGTTAATGTGATGTTTTTCCCAGGCTCTGTACCAAACAAACATGTTTAATTACATCTGGAGAACACGATTTGTAGGCCAGTGCATCGCTGCAGAACTACAGTACTTCATTATAATGCTCTTTTTTCAAAATATTGCAGCTTCTGCGCTTTGTATATAATAATTTGTGCCAGTATTTCTTCCATCTGTATTCCAAGCATACTTGTCAACGATGTGTATTGGCATTGCAGTGCAGTGTATAACAGGAACATATCACTGATCCTGAGAGAATGGCAATCCTTATATAAGGCATTTAAAGCTATATCTAGCCTATAAGTGCCATCTAAAAATGTAACACAGCTGATCTGTGTGCTGGGAAATTTCATTACCATGAATGGATTTGTAATTGGGTCCACAGTTATTTGGGTAATGTAAAAGATGCACTCTGTTACAGTCAGTTGGCACAGAGGGCTAATGTTCATAAGGTTACATCAATGAAACCCGCTTCAGTTCTGCTGCAGGAATGTCCTGACCTACAAATCTTGTTCTCCAGATGTAAATCTCACATCATCATAATTAACTTTTTTTTTTTTCCAGTGAAAATAAAAATGTGTTACGCAAAATGATCATTCCATAAATCATATTCCAATGGTAATATCTGTCATAACAATAGCAATATGATTTTCTTTAACCATATAGTGCAACCCTAATTTCAGTATGAATTTAACTGAACCTGGGCTTGGGCTTTGTACATTTTATCCAATCTGAATACAGCTTTAAACACGTGTTTCTCAGCTTTCAACATTTATTACTTGAGTAAAATAAACAACTAAACTATACAGCTTTGTGGTTCTGCGAGAGCCGTGTGATGTAAATGTTGTCTTCTGCTCATGTCTGCGAGGGACCACCGCTTGTTTTGTTTGACCAACAGTCCCAATCCAAAAGATATTCGATCTACCGTCACTCAAGAGAAAGAAAAGCAGTAAATCTTCACAGCTGAGAGAGTGCAACAAGCAAACGTCTGCTGAAACAATGACTTGAACAATGAATCGATCATCAAAATATTGCCTCAGTTATGACTGATGGTGCAGGGAAATGCATATCTGCACAGTATCATTTGTTGTCACAGTCCCTGTCAATATGTATGCGTATAAATAAACTATAGGGTTGCATCAAGAGGTGTAATACACGACGCTGTGTCGGTGCTGTGGCAGGACTGCAGCTATTATGTTTCAGCTTCCAGGGTTTCTCCCCCTCTCTGTACCTGTGAACAGCACTGTCTGCATTGTTTGCTGACGGTAGTCGCAGTATTGTTATAAGTCATCGCCTGTGCTCTGCATAGTCACACACATTGCTACAGCTCAGTGTGACTGCAGCACATTGTTTCAGTCAGTGCTACCAGGTTCCCCACCATACCTAAACCTGGCATGTTACAGCAGTAAGAAGATCTGGAATTTATATTAAGGACTTGGAAACCCCTATTGATTGTTTCTTATATATTTAGATAATGTATTCATTGGTTCATAAATGCCTGACTGTTTTTCCAGTCAGTATGAAGCAGAGCAGAAGCTAAGCTTTCTGGCTCAAAGTCAGAGGCAATCAGTCATCTCCTCTGCACTCCTGACACATTGTTTTAGTTCTGTGTTCTCTTTGCAGCACGGTCACATTTAGCTTTGAGCCAAAGGTCTTTTCCTGCAGTTAGAAATGTAGTCTGCTGAGCAGCCTTCAGCAGCTCTGTTCAGTGTTCAATCAGCCTACCACCTTTTTAGATTTCCTCCCAGCTCGGCTCCAGAGAGCCAAACAACGACCAAATCAGCTTCTGTAAAATACCAAAGCAAATAGCCTCCAGTGAATTAGAAAGCCTCTGAAATGCAGACTGACCTGTATAGTTTAGCAGTTGGATATTCTCTTCACACATTTTTGTCTGTTTAACCAGCCTTTGTAAGAATAACATTTTCAATCAAATCATACAGAACACTTTTCATATAGAGCAGGGTTCGACCGTACGTGTTTACCCAAACCCAACAGTTTCCACCATGAGCAAGTGCTTTGTGACAGTGGCAAGGAAAAACGTCCTTTTAAGAGGCAGAAACCTCAAGCAGAACCCGGCTCTAGGTCAGTGGCCCTCCGCTTCGACCAGTTGGGGTTTTGTCTCCCCAGATCAGCCCAGGGTTTCCCCAGACAGTCTGCCAATTATCTACAGAGTTCGCCCATAAGTACAGTACTTTGAGGCAGTAAAACAGGGATGGAAATGCAGCGACAAAGATTGATTTTAATGATAATGTGAAATGTATCTAGGACAGATTCCACTGCACCTTCATTTTGCTTATTTTGCTGTTTTTGCTTTAAAGTATTTATTTTCTGTTTCACCACATCTGCACTGTTGTTCTTGACTACAAGAACAATGGCACATATCATTTTGAATTATATAATAATTATATATTAAGTTATAAATAGGTCTGCAACAAACAGAACTAGGGATGCATCGTTTTATTGGCTGGACATCGGTATCGGCCACTATTCGCCTTGTTGACTGACACTGGCCTATCAGTCAATAAGATCAAGCAAATATGCATTCACCAATGTTAGTGGCTGATGGTTGTCTGTTATGTCACACCAACTTTGCGTTCCAACTTGGATATTGGAGAAATAACCTCGTTTTCCAGCACTGACACAAATTGCACGTAAATACTGATCCACGCAGCAGCACGTAAGTCAAACAAACTAGTGTTTCCCTAGAGAGGCAGACAGATCTGTCGTCATGTCTATCAGGACTTGTCCAACAGGTCTGAACCACTTGTGAATTTCCCAGAGAATTTATAAATACCACAGATTCTTTGATATCACTCATACGTTCCACTCTTGCAGAGTCATACTCAGCTGCAGTCCTAATGTATTTAACAGAAATATTCTTGATTGATTTTCTGTTGTTGGCCGATATATTACTTACATGACTAGTTATTTCAGCAGGAGTTGAACTAAGATTATCACCCCTACACTATGCAACCTAAGAATGTGGTCCTGGCCCGGGAAAACACATTGTGGATCAGTGTTCTGCAGGTCATACCCGGCCTAATATATCTTTGCAGCAGTGAGAGGGATAGTATAATTCTTCTTTTGCACTTTCAGGTTGCTTATTTCCACAGCAGTTTCACATGGACTCTGGATTCCTCCTGCTCTTGCAGCATCTGGACGCAAACCAGATGAAGCTTGTTGTTCCACCCAGCTGTAAATCTGGCCCTGGGCCCAGTTAGTTTTAGCTCTGTGAAGATGTGGGACCCATGCCTGTGAGGTTTGCGGGGCCATGCTGACCAGGACTGGTTCCATGTATGTCATGTTTTCTCGTGGCAGCTGTGTTTGGGTCAGACACTTAGCGGGACGGTGAGATTAACAGGTGTACCGTAAACTGTTATGATGTGATGTTAGCTGAACCAACGACTGTCAACCCCTTTCATTTTCACGCTGGCCTGGGCTGTTTTAAGCATGCCATGTTTTATTAGCTTGGAGTATTGACATTCTAACAGTGTGTAACTTTTTTCCCTGGAGTTTTATCTGCAAAAGTGTCATGATTCAGTCTGGACAATAGCACAGACTCAGACTTGTTTACTGACTGACACACTGGCTATATTTCCCAATAAACGTCTGTGAGGGAAGCAGCTTTATTTGACCTGACAGATTCCTAGGGTGACTACTGGACAGGAACTATAGGAATATAAATGCCTGCTGGTCAGCTGTATGACTCAACAGACTCATTGACGGGCTAAAATAGACTGCTGGATGAATGCACATCTGTGGCGACAGTCAGGCTCTGGGATATTTGAACAAAAATCGAGATGTTTGTGTGTTTTAGAGAGGAAGGACAGGACTTGTAGAGAGGTAGGAGAAAGAAGCAAAGGGGAAGGGGGAGAACAGTAGGGCTGCAGCTGCGATTACTTTCATTATTGATTAATTTTCCAATTATTTTCTCCTCTATACAGATGTGTTCCCAGAATCAATGTTTGATTCTCTGCCCGAACCCAACTGGACCCTACCCCAGTCGGGCCAACATTGCTGCCATGGGTCGGGCTTTAATTAGTATTTTATAAATAATGCATGCGACTGTAATTAATGAGTGAATTTTGTTTTTGTTTTTTTAATAATTTGAACTATATTATATTCACAATTTAGTTTACGTAACCTGAAAATTTGGTTTCGGGTTGCTGGAGCAGCAAACGTTTAACATTTTTGCTTGAATAAAATTATTAACAATTATCAAAATAGTTGCCAATTAATGTTCTCTCATTGACTAATTGCTTTAAAGACCAAGGATCTAGCCAAAGATTCATTACATTGTGATATGATTTACGATGAGCGGGGAATGTCAATTTTTGCATTACAAATTTAATTTTCACTAAAATCCTGATGATGTGAAACATTCTCGTGTTTTGCTGTCTCTTATATATAATCTCCTAATTTTTGTCTTAGTCAACAAAATGCTGCTGTCAAGGTCTGTGCACAGCAGCAGTGGTGGAAACTCCAAGCCGCAGCAGCCTTACTTCATGGGAAGTTAGTTTGCTGATGGTAGCTTGTTTCAGTTGGACTGATGGATAGAGCAGCTGACAGAAAAATAAGGGTGAATCAACAATTCTCTGTTTTTACTTGTAGTCACATTCGGAGTCAGCAGACATTTAGAGAAGGGTCTCTGGAACACTGAGAGACTTAATTAAACACTGATTCAGTCCATTTTTCTATTATGTTGTGTGGGATTATTTTTAGAGTTCTATTGCATGCTGTGAATTTCACTCAGGGATAATAGTAGATAATGTAGAATATAAAATTTTTCTAACATTGTCTTATTGAAGTATCAATCAAAAAGTACTCTACTAATAGCTATGCTTACCTATAATATTTTAGCAACCATATAACCTACCATTTTGTGCAGTATTTTTTTTATGTGCAATTTAAAAATGTGCATTAAACAGGTGGACAGAAACACACTCATTCAGGCAAAGTTCTTGTGCAGCTGCTACAAGTATTAAATTAGCAATACAATCAAAAAATATCCAACCATATCAAAATACCACTTCGGGCTAGTATATCTAGCAACTCACTGGCCCGAACGGGCAAGTGGTAAAAAAGAATGAAACACATTTTTTTTCTGGAGCTGATGGTGGATGTAGCTAAGGAGTAAGCCATCTTGCTGCCTTCTCATCTCTGTTGAGAGCTGCACATGTGCATTACCGATCGGCCACTAGGGTTGGGTATTGTTTGTGCTAAACTGGTACTTTTTAAACTGAAACGATACTTAAAAAAAAAAAGAAGAAAGAAGCAGCACAAAATGACGGTTGACGACATTATAAAGAAGATTTACTTTATTATTATTATAAAGAATGGCTTTTTTAATTATTAACTGTATAAAGCATTCTTAAATATATTAATATAAATAAATACAAAACACTTAATACTTTTAAATTTAAAAAGAAATGTAACCATGAATAAATAAAACAATTTTTGTAGAGCAAGTCAAAAAAAAGCTTCAGAGTTGAACCTTGCCCTAGTAGTAAACTCAAGCCACTTCCATGAACCCTGGGTTTACAGAACGTTTCACTGCAACACATGATGGGTGAATTACAAACCGTGAACCAGAGTAGTGGAAAAAATATTCAGTGTAACTTCCCTTCACCTGTAAGACGAATTGTGTCGAGGCTGAGAACAAACAGTAGAGTTCGTACCTGGCTTCTATCTACACCTGGCAGTGGCTTTTTGCTTTGTCCAGTTATTATGAGACGGTATATTCACAAGTGACTTATAAACATCTCAACACTGACACCTGGTAAATATGTCATAGTCATGTGATATTTGCCCACTTAACGACTGGACGAGGGCAACAAGAAACCACATGCAGTGGATTGTTAGACAGTTTGGGCGTATCCTCCAAATTCAGGCTAAGAATGACCATATGAGGCTGTTAAGACATTCAGTCATGTAGACGGCTAAGTCTTAATCTGTGTGTTTTAGTCCAGTTGTTGGTCCTTACATTAATGCTGCCAGCTGCTGATTCTGCTGCTCTCATTATCTGATTAGATGGAAAGCAACGGATAAAAGATGGTAAAGAAGACGTGGAAAAGAAGGTTGGTCAGAGAGAGGAGGAAGGCAGTAAAAATGTAGGGGAATATTGATGGCCAGATGTAGACTGACACACTGAGGTCAGTGTAGTCAGAGTGAAGAAAATGTCCATAGAAGGAAGTACTGAAGACAGAGGCGTGAGATTAAAAGAGAGAAGAGCAGAGACTCTGACATTTCTAAAGGCTTTACTGTCATAATCCCCATACAAACTCAATTCAACCTCTTTCTAGGACCAATGGGAAACATATGGAGAATGAGGAAAAACTCTTGACAGATTAACAGAGAAAAAGGTCAGCGATGGTATTGGCTACCTCCTGACTGGTATTAGAGGATCACACACTTACACAGTTCACTCTTCATTCAGAGCGACACTATAGATCACATGCCTGGGTCTCCTTTGACTTCCCATAGCTGTCCCCTGTCCTGTTAGCCCAGCCTTAGTAAGACATCTCTCCTCTCGCTCTGTCACTGTGTGCTGCAGTTTGTGATGGCCTGCATTCCCCAGAATGCCCTTCAGCAGCTCCCAGTGAATACGCTTTACTGCACAAGCATCAGACGAGTAGCAATAGCACAGTAAGATCAAGTCACTGAGAAATATTTCACATGGTAAAGTTGTCTTGCGACTGTTTGCATGACAGACGATTGATGCTACTGTCTGAGGATAAACTGTATTTCACCCTCTCTATGACCTTCGTATGACTGTGCTAACAGTGCTTTAAGTAGATTTTAACCAGTGACAAGTTTTAGCTACAGTTTCAGTCACCATCTTTCTGGTGCACATTAGGCTTAAATTTATTCCACCTTAGGTTGCATTAAGACTGACTGTAGTTTAAATGGAGCCCGTCCGTCGGCACAGCAGGAATGGCGACTCAGGGGCGCCGGCAAAACAGGGTTGTCTTTTGGCAAAAAAGTTGAATCAGACTCAACTTTTTGCTGCAACACGATGTTATCTGGCAAGGTGCTGTGTGGGCCAATCAAATACATGCAAGTGCACATTCTTGGTTGCTTTC